CCCCAAAACCCCAAAACCCCAAAACCCCAAAACCCCATCTTATACTTTTTTTTAATTTTAATAGAAATAGAGAAATTGATTAGAATATTATTTCATCAAATTCTAATGAACAGAGCCAATAAACTTATTTTAGATCTAGCTAATTATTCTGATCCCTTTCTTGGGGTAGTAGCGATAATCTATATCGCAGGTTGCTAGTTTGGAATGATGATAATTTATCCAAATTTAGAACTGATAATATAGTTCCCCTTAATTTGCTTGTTTGAGCTGATCATGTACATGATGATCATTGAGAAGCATAAAAAGTATTTCGACAAGTTATCATGCTGCTTGAGGCAAGGAAGTGTCATGTATTTAGTTTGTCTATTTAAGCTCAGAGACAGATTTATGCAAGAAAACAGATTTAAGAAGCTCAGAGTAGCAATCATGCTTATAATCACAGTAGTTGCCATCATGATATCAGTTTTAAAATCTCCATAGTTGTAAGCTTTTGGATCTACAATGTACTATGATAACGAGGAAGTATCTCAAAATGAGATTGAGATGTACACTACTATGTAAATATCATAGGTTATAGTTATGTGGCTAGTCATTATATATCATGTACTCTATGGCTGTGGGAAATATTTGATTTACCTGACTATCTCTGTACTATTTTGCCCATGCCTGTTTTGTTATATGATTTTTAACCGAGGAAATCAACAAATTGAGATAAGAGAAATACCAAATCAATTAAACTAGCGAGAATCCTTTGGAGGATATCAAGGATCAATGACTAAGATGCAAAGATAAAGATAGGATGTTTAAGAATGGATTGAAAGGAATAGAATTCAATACAAGAAGTTGATACCACAAGCATAGGCTGCTTAATGCTCTATCTGTCTAAACAATTTTCAGAAAAGAGATTATCTAGTTTAACTCAAATGTAACATAATTCACAGATTTCATTATGACTGTATTAAGGTATGGGGGCTATCAAAGATCTCTTGTCCTCTTTGTAGATAAGATATAGTACCTATTAGGTAGTACGTCACAGATTACGAAGTGGGACTTAATGGTAATATAATAGCAACGCAACGAATAGTTGAAAACACCAACCCTTCAAACTCATCAGCTTAGCTAGCTAATGATTAAAATACAAACAATTTGATCAATGGAAATGAACTTTAAGTAGATGATTTCAGTAGTAATAGTAATAACAATGTAAATAATTAAAACAGTTAACGCCTAAGTACAAGACCCATAAACTAGCTCGAATAATAAAGTCAGCAATAACTGGACGATTTACAGATTATCGTTAATGGATATTAATGATATCTTATCTATTTATATCTAAGCTTTTGAAAAGTCTATCATTAAATAATAGTTGAATATACTTATTTATACTTCTTTCATACTTATTTCTATTTTAAGGGGTTTTGGGGTTTTGGGGTTTTGGGG